GGACTGTATAGCCAATACATCCTTAAGTGCTCCGTCTTACCAGATCGGGAAAAATTATTATATTGACTTCTTCGTTAGACTCAGTCAGTTGATTATTGTATTATTTACACATCCGTTGCAACAGTTTGCGAAATAAATTCTAAGAATGATGACAGCTTCCTTGTGTGCGTCCACAAATGTACCAAAGGAAATTATACACCAGAAAGTATGCTTTCGAAGTTCAATGGCCCGAGACGGTTAACGCATTTCTACCGGTGGGTCCACTTAAGTTGCGTTTCTGGTTCTGAGAACCCTTGACGTCACAGCTGCGATTACGGGAATCCCCGAGGAGGTCTCTACTTTTTACCTTTCCCTGATCTGCAGTAAATCCTTGATTATTTCTTTCCTCAAAGTAATATGACTACTGAACTTAATATAATTCTTGGAATTTAAAAAATAATTTTCTTTGTACATATCCTAACTGAAAATTACGATAAAATATTTTATTTTCAATTCAGTGTTCTTATGATCATTCAGTGTGAATGTCGAAAATAATTCAAATATATTTTGAAACTAATTATCCTTCTTTCTTATGTTCATTTTTATTCTTTTCCTGAAGGAAATACCAAGGAACAAAGTTTTTCCATCGGGTTAATTGTAAAGACAATTGCGTTGGTTCGTGGAACGGCGTCCCCTAAAAGCATTTGACCAAAAATCAATTACGCTGTCAAGTAGCACGCTGTCGACGGAGACCGGCATATGACAAATTACGAAGGGGAAAGGAGTCGAATGAAACCTGCTTCACAAAAATCGGTCATGGTCATTACACTGTCGCGGTTCAAGCTGTCACGGTGGAGAGACCGTAAGAGTAGATCGCAGTAGATCATTTCAAACAGATCAAATCACTCCCTCTCTTTCTCTCTATCTAACGACAAAACACGTGTCGCTGCCTCCTACCTCGATTCCCAAGACCTACATCGAGAAGGCTAGTCTTGCCAATTGTTGCATCGTACGTACAGAACGTCGTCGGGCCGCGGCACTAATTGCAACGTATCCGCGAATACCTAAAAAAAATCTGAACATTTTCAGATTTAATCACTGTGAGACTAATTGTGTTTAAACAATCTCAGTATCCGTGTACGTATAAAAACAAATACTCTCACGTGTCACCGATTCCTAGCTTCATTTCAATGAATTCAAAATGTGAAGTTCATATAAAAAAATAATGAAGTTGTTATTATAGTTCTATTGAATACAACTGGTGCCAATTACAGAATAAAGAGGTATTAACACGGTGACAGTATCTTGAATTAGATTTAGGCAGGGCCATTAAATTGTTCGACAAAAGAAAATTGAGTATGCTTGGAACTTCATAAGTTATAAACGAGTGACATAAATAATACATGAAACCTGCAAGTGTGAACTACAGGCGGTTACTAACTGACTGATTAAAATTCAAGATAAACGATAATAGCAAGAATCGCGTTGGCTGGTCGTCAACGCGGGATAAAGATTTGCATATTCATTAATAGAAAATCTTTATAGGAAACGCAAAATGGATCCCGACAGTTTCAAGGATTTCGCTAGGGAAATGACGGAGTATATTACTAATTACTTGGAGAATATCAGAGAGAGGTGAATACTTTATTGTTTCTTTTTTTTTATTCTATATTTCCCGGTCTTTTTATGCTCTTATAGGAATTCCTTTAGGTTTAAAGAGATTACTAATGAAATATAATTTGTAGGAGAGTGCTGCCGACGGTGGAACCAGGTTACATGAAACCCCTTTTGCCGTCCGAGGCTCCACAAACTCCGGAGAGCTGGAAGGATATAATGGGAGACATTGAAAGAGTGATAATGCCAGGGGTAAATGTCAGCTCTCATACAATCGAATCTCAATAGAATGATCGCAGAAAAATGTGAAATGAAAAATATTTCTATTTTTTCCTTCTGTGAGACAAACAGATTTTCATAAATAAATTTTGATTACATTTCGCTTGTCAGGTCACCCATTGGCACAGCCCGAAATTTCACGCATACTTTCCCACGGCCCAATCGTACCCAGCAATCGTAGCTGACATGCTGAGCGACGCAATAGCGTGCATCGGATTCACCTGGGTGAGAATAGTCGAACAATGGTTTTATTCTCTCACCGTTAAAATTTTATTTACTTTTGATGAACGATAAATATTTCGCGCACAGATCGCGAGCCCCGCCTGCACCGAATTAGAAGTGATAATGTTGGACTGGCTGGGGAAAATGCTGGACCTGCCGAAGGAATTTCTAGCCTGCAGCGGTGGGAAAGGTGGTGGTGTCATACAGGTAAACATTTTTATTAACTTTCTACGGATTTTATTAATAATTAGAGAGGATCTCCGTTCGACAATCAATTACGTCAAGTGTTTATTAATAATAATTGTTAATGGAGTCGGGTAAACGTCTTGAACGATGTTCACCTGTTGCTCATCTATTATGCCCTTCATAACTTAAGCTTAAGTTTAATCCCTGGCTCGATAGATATTTTACGAGCACGATGAGCGGCTTCGAAGTGCTCCTCGTAAACAGCAATTAACGATCAATTTCAGGGAACTGCGAGCGAAGCCACTTTAGTCGCGCTCCTTGGCGCCAAGGCGAAAAAAGTGAGGCAGGTCAAGGAGCAACATCCCGAGTGGACCGACAACGAAATCGTGGGCAAGCTGGTCGCTTACGGCTCCTGTAAGTATTTGTTTAAAGTATTTGTAGTTTACAAGCGCATTATTGC